CTCGGTGCCGGGGCGCGGGGAAGGCTGGCGGCCCTGGGCTCCACCCGGCGCGCCTACTGCGCACTGCCGTTTACTCGCTGTTGGTGCTGCTCAGAATCACAACGTCAGTGAGGGTTTCGGGAGGATACGGCGGAACTAGGACTGAATGAGAGCACACACCAGCCCTCGAGCTGGGAGGTGGGCTTGCAGCGGGGAGATGAGGGGGAAAACAAGAAGTTTTGCTTCAACATGAGGAAAAACTTCTTTATGCTGAGAGTGGCAGAGCACTGGAACAGGCTGCCCAAGGACGTTGTGAAGTGTCCCTTTCTGGAGACATTCCTGTGTGGGTGCTCTGGGTAGCCCTGCCTTGGCAAGGAGGTTGGATTGGATGATCTCCAGAGGTCCCTTTCGATGCTGATGATTCTGTGGTGTCTATGTGTATATTATTATGTGTAATAACCACATAATTATATGATTATGTGATTCTCTGCAGGGGAATATCTGTCTTCACTTGCCATAGGGAGCCCTGTAGTGAGCTGGGTCTTGTTGCTTTCTCCTTGCAGCACTGAGCAGCCATGGTGAGGATGCAGGAGGTGGTTGGGAGGGCAAGAGCTGCCTTCAGCTCGGGCCGGAGCCGTACGCTGGAGTTCAGGATGCAGCAGCTGAAGGCCTTGAAGCTGATGGTGAACGAGAAGGAGAAGGACATCCTGGCAGCCATCATGGCAGATCTGCACAAGGTGTGGGTTGGGGGGTTTTCCTGTCAGCCATGCACGGGCAGTGGTCACCCTGGAAGGGAAAGTGGGAAGGCCAAGGGCTGCCTTTGCCGTGCCAGATGTCTTTTGTGCATGTCCCCCATGGTTCTGGCTCTCACTATGTCCTGCCAAGGCTTGCTTCCACCGTGTCTTAAGAAGGAGCTAGTCTAAGGCAGGACTACAAAGGTAGGTCCTGGCTTTTGCCGCACCCTGAGCCCCACACACCCAGACTGACTCTCCTCTGCCAGGGATCCTTTGGGGCCGCACTACCTGCATCAGACACTTTTGAACCAGCAGAATTTACTTTGCTTCCCTGGGCTGCCAGGGTGGGTGCCTTTGCCTCCCCTCCCCAAGCTCCCTGTCATTGCAGAGTAAGACCAATGCATACTGCCATGAGATCCTGGGCCTGCTGGGGGAGCTGGCCCTGGTCATGGACAAGCTGAAGTCCTGGGCAGCCCCTCAGCCTGTGAAGAAGAACTTGCTGATGATGCGGGATGAAGCCTACATCTGCCCCGAGCCGCTGGGAGTGGTGCTGATCATTGGGGCCTGGAACTACCCCTTTGCTCTGGTCATCCAGCCTTTAATCGGAGCCATCGCAGCAGGTGGGGACTTGCTGCAGCCCCTGTCCTTCATGGGGCTATGAGTGGGTGCTGTGGGAGGCGGGAGAGGAGCACGAGGGCTCAGTGGCCATGCTGCATTTGTCTTGTAGGTAATGCTGTGGTGGTGAAGCCGTCGGAGATCAGCGAGAACACGTCTCAGTTGCTGGCTGATCTTCTTCCCCAGTACCTTGACCCGGTGAGTGTGGCCCCATGCTCAATGTGATTGTCTTAAGGACATATCTGTTATGCCTTCAAAGGGTTCCGGCAGGTTAAAGTCAGATCAGTTGCCCACTCTCACCAAAGGGGCATAATCCAGAGATAAAGGAAGGTTGAATTACTCTTAGTATACAAAGGCACGTTGACATTTTGTACCTGCTTTTGCATAACCTAACATTGCATAATGCTGCTACAATACAACAGCCTCTTTGATATTCACAACTATGTGAAGAGCTGTTTGTGTCCTTCACACTGCAATGACTGCTCTTGTGGATGCTGCACTTGGTACTTACCCCTAGGTAAGTACAAGGTAGTCTTTCATGTGGGCTGTGGGCTGTGCCTGGCTCTTACTGAAAATTGGGCACGCTGCTCAGTGGCAATACGTCCTGGGTTTTCCTGTC